TAAGTCACTAAATTGCCCAGGCTGGGCTTGAACTCCCAATCCTTGTATATCCCTATGCCCAGCTCACACTGCTCTCTTAATTGGAGGGGTCTGATCCTGAGGTACTGGTGTCCCTGCTGGAGGAGAGGTCTTCCTCACTGCCTGTCCCGTCAGGCACCAGCAGCCCTTTCCTTAGCACATGCCCCAGGGAAGATGAGAGGAGGGAAGCAGCCCAGCTGAATACCAGCATAAGGCTCTTGTCCCAGGCCAGACCTTGGGCACTTGAGTACTTTGGTTTTCTGGGAACAGCAGCCTCTCTCTGCTTTCCTTCAAATTCCTCTGGATCTGACCTTGGAACCAGTCAGATGTATGTGGAGTCAGCTGGGCCACATAATACAGGACAAAGGGACAAAAAACCTGTGATGTTAGGGCCTTCTTCAGTTCTTGGAGTCTTCCCGTTTGCTGGTTCATTCTGGGAACCTGGGGGACAGACTAGAAGCTGGCACCAGCCACAGTCTGGCAGGGAGTGAGGGGCAGAGTTCTGGAAGAGGAGCCTTCTCCTTGGGTCCCTACGTGATGTTGTACATAGACCTTTGCTGTGAGATAGTGGAGAAGCCCGAATTTCCTCTCTGGGCTTCTGTGTTATACTGAGTGGACAGTCATTGCAGGTTACATACATGAAAAAAAAATCCATCTGCATTTTACTTCCTTCCAAGAACTTTTGTTTTACAGTACTGGAGACTGACCCAGGCCCTTCACAACGAGCTACATCCCCAGCCCCTTTTTTATTCTTTATTTTGAGACAGGTCTCACTAAGTTGTTAAGTTGCCCAGGCTGGGCTCAAACTTGTAATTTCCCTGCCTCAGCCTCCCAGAGTACTGAGATTACAGATATAAGAACTTTTAAGCAAAATGAGTAGACTAAGAATGGTAGAATAGGGCCGGGATGTAGCTCAGTGGTGCTGGCACCTGCCTGGCAAGCGAAAGGTCCTAAGTTCAATCCCCAGTACTGACAAAAAAAAAAAAAAAAGAATGGTAAAATAAAGCCACAAGGTGGGGGCTGGGCATACAGCTCAATGGTAGAGCACGTGCTTCAATATGAGCAAGGTCTTGTGTGTGTGAGTGTGTGTGTATCTTTATAGCCACTTCTAACACTGTAGTCTTAGACAAGGTAAAGGCCAAATCATATACTCTCCTTGGGTTCTCCTAGCCAAGTCTCACTCTCACACACATGTGCACAATCTCACACACATTCTTCCGGCTGTGATCTTCATAGGACCACATATTGCAAGCCACTAGGGAGGGAGAGCACTTCTTTGCTACTGAACTCTTTATCAGTTGGCCACTGCCTCTTCTGGCTTTGCCAAGCACATCTTCTCAATCACGGGTCACAATTCTTCCAGACAGGGAAAGCATCCCTGGAGCGCCCAGCACAGGAGGAGCGGCCAGGGGGCCTGACCGCAGTGCACTCAGAGGACCGTGTTCACTGCCTGCTTCCAAGAGCACAGAGTAAAGGTCACGGGAGCTGAGGCCTGGGTGATGTTTGCTTGGGTGCTGTATGTGTCTATCCAGAGTTGGACGACCTCTATGGACAGAGAGTACTCTTTCCTCTTGGGCCAGGCATTAGGGTGACTGCCCAGAGAGGCAGGCCACTTGCTTCCAACCCCCCGAGGCTGCCAAAAATGATGGTGAGAGTATAAATGAGGATGCTGGCTGTGGAGTGCAATTTGGCAATATTTTCCAAATTTGAAAATAGCAGTTCTATTAGTAGATATTTATCCTACAAGTATACCTACACACATGTGAAATGAAGCGGATTAGTCATTCATTGCAGAATCATCTACTAATAAAACCAGGGCACAGTGGCACATACCTGTAATCCTAGCACTCGGGGAGGTAGAGGCAGGAGGGTCACAAGCTCAAACCTAGCCTGGGGAATCTAATGACTTAGGGAGACCCTGTCTCAAAAGAAAGTAAATTAAAATGAGGACTGGTTGTTTTTTTGTGTGTGGTTCCAGGGATCAAACTTGGGTCCTTGTGCTTGCAAGGCAGGCAGCGGAACCACTGAGCTAAACCCCTGGCCCCTAAAGTAAATTACAAAAGGACTGGAGATGTACTTCAGGGTGAAGGCCCTGGGTTCAATCCTCAGAAGTAAAACAAAGGAAGGAAGGGAGGGAGGAAGGGAGAGATCTAAATGTCCAACACTAGACAATTAATTTCATGGATTATGGGATGTCCATGAGGTGGAATATTTAAATAGGAAGCTTTTGTGTATTGATCTGGAAGGATCACAGGTATGCAGTTAAATTTTAGTAAGCAAGGCAGATATATTTTACTACCATTTGATAGAAAAGCAAGGATAAAAGAATATTTATTCATATTGATCTATATGTATGTAAAACATTATTGGAGGGATAAAGATAAACAAAATTCTATTGGTAGTTACTTGTTAGGGAAATGAAAATGGATGAAGGCAATTTTCTATGGTATGTATTTGGGGTGTGTGTGTGTGTGTGTGTGTGTGTGTGTGTGTGTGTGATGGGTATTAAGACTCAAGGCTGGGCTGGGGATTCAGCTCAGTGGCACTGTGCCTACCTCACAAGAGCAAGGTCCTGAGTTTGATCCTTGGTACCCGGAAAAGAAAAAAAAACTCATGGCCTTCACTTCACATTGAGCTATATCTCCAACAAAATATATATTTATATTAGAGAGGTATCATTGTTTAGAGAGGTATCATTGTATTCCAGATTGGCTTTGAACTCACTATGTAGCCCAGGCTGGCCTTGAATTCCAGAAATCCTCCTGTCTACCATGCCTGGCTTATTTACTATTTTTTATTTTGAGACAGTATTATACTAAGTTGCCCAGGCTAGGCTTGAATTTGTGAACCTTCTGACTCAGCCTCCCAGAGTGTGGGGATTACAGGTGTGCACCACCACACCTGTAGATTTTATATATCCTGATTAAATGATGTCAGTGTGTTATCTATTAAAAAATTAAATTGAGGGGCCAGGGATTTAGCTCAGTGGTTTTGTTGCCTGCTGCGCAAGCGCCAGGACCCGAGTTCGATCTCCGGTACCAAAAAAAAAAAAAAAAAAAAAATTAAATTGAAAACAGAATCAGAGTAGCAGAAGGAACCTTTCACCCTGTCCACATCTAGGTGGGGACAACCAGCTGGAAAACCAGCAGAAAGGACTGGAGCACCTTGGGAGACCAAGCATGGCAACATCCCTCTGCCAGCCCGGAAGCCCTGGCCTATAGGGCCCTGGAGTTTCTCTTCTTACAGTTTCCTTCCTTATTGGCCTACTCGCTCTCCCAACTCAGGCATTCTCGTGTGTGTGGCTTGGGAAATCTTGCCTTTTCTGAAAATGTAAACATTTTACACAGTTCCTCTGAGTAACAAGGTCACTCGCTGAAGCAGTGATGTTCTTTGAAGCTGCTTGACTTCTTGGAATCCCTTTGCTTTACCCCTTCAACTCTGATGTTTTGGGAAAAATCACAGAGTGGCATGTATTTGTTTCAGAGATTACTCTTTCAGACTCTTAGGACACCCTGTGAGCCCTCTGGGGTGTTGCAAAACCCGACTTTAGAGTGATTGCCTTGATGATCACAAGAGGTCACAGCCAAGTGGGGCCAATCACTCTGGCACATGGTAGGGGCAGGGCAAGGGGAGAGGAGGGTTCCGGGCTGCCCCGCCCTCTACCCCAGGAGTTCCCATGGCACCAAAGGCCTTTTTGGGTGCCTCACAGGCATGCCAACCCAAGCAGGGTGAGCTGTGGGGTCCCTGGGAGTTCAGCTCATTCTTTTTCCTCAGGGATAATTTTAGGTTCTCTCTTCCCCTCCAACCTTTCTAACTCCCAACCCCTGGCTCAGCCTCCCAGAGGGATTGCTCAGACCAGCGACTACACAGTGCTCTTTTGAAATATAGAACACAAGAGGGCATAGTCCTGGAGGCATTTTCCATGATAATTTTTTTCCCTCTATCCCATTGTTTCAGGGGAGGAAGCTCAAGGGTCAGGCCCTGATAGGTCTTAATAAAGCTGTCATATCTTCTTGCCCCCCATCTTGAACCCAGAGGGTTATTTTCCCAGTTTGAGAGCAATTGGCTTAGAGATTGGGGGCTAGACTAGCAGAACTAAGCCTTGTAAGTGTGGGTGAGGGGAGAGAGCAGGGAGGGGGTTCTGGGCTTCTTCAGAGGATGGACACCTCTGCTGGGCCCTTATGAGAGATTTCAGAGGCATTCAAGTACTACTCTGAACACCACATGTGAATTCCTTAACTCAGTGGGTCTGGTTTCTAAAGCTCATGAAGAAACACTTCACCAAAAGACATCATGAAGGGAGAGCTGTGGATAGTGGGGGGAGATCTGAGGATGCTGAACATATCTCAGCCTCAGACCATTCATTTTTCTCCCCAGTTCTGGGGATCAATCTCCAAACATAGCCCCCCTCTGTCGTGCTGCCCCACCCTGCCCTGCCCCAGGGCTGGGGATGGAACCCAGGGTCTTGGGCATGCTAAGGGGTGCTCTACCACTGAGCTACACCCCCAGACCCATTCAACTACTTTTAAAAATGTCTTCATGACAGATTTTAAGAGGAGGCCTATCTAGAGAATGTCTAAGTGGAAAGGTGTGTGGAAAGAGGCAGAGCAAAGAGGGGACGATAGAGGAATCAAGCTCTTCTCTCAGGCTACATAACCCTGAACCCCAATCGAACTGGACAATGAAAAGGACTCAATTTCCTCAGCAGCTGAGAAAGAGGAAAAAAACTATAAGGAAGAGAAGGGGAAGGGGTAGTCTATCACTAGGAGGGGAAGATACAGGCTGTTCTACCTTCCTTTAAAAACCCTCGGGAGGGGGCTCCGGAGAGAAGGGCTGCTGCGGGCATTCTGCTGGTCTTGGGAGAGTCCCCTTTTCCTCTACAGGGTAAGGCTCCCCCCTCCCCTTCTTCCTGGGAAACTGGTGCAGGGCGGGGGTGGGGGTGGGGGTGGACGGGGATGGGGACTGTCCCAAGGGCTGGCCGGAGGCCTGGGTAACAGCCGGGCCGGCCCCTCTATGTGCCCTCGCATGACCTCTGGAGGACTCTCGTCCACTATTGGCTGCTGCCCCTTTAAGCGCCGCAGCAGCTCCTCCCGCGGTGGCATCAGGGGTGGGGGTGAGGTGTGGGGAGGGGAAGGGTGAGAGCTGTGTCCTAGTCAACTAGGGAAGATGGTGGCCCGGGCCGGTGGAGTTGCTCCCAGGTCCAGCTGTCCCCTCCCCTGAGCCTGGGGCCCTGGGAGACCCCTCCCGCCCCCCGCGACGCGGGGATGGGTCCCCATGGGAACCGCTCTCTGGGCTCATTGCCAGACGCCCCCACGCTGGCTCCCAGTCTGAGTGGGCTGCCAGGGGTGCCGTGGGCGGCAGCGTTCGCCGGGGCGCTGCTGGCGCTGGCCACCGTGGGAGGCAACCTGCTGGTGACCGTGGCCATCGCCCTGACGCCGCGACTCCAGACCATCACCAACGTGTTTGTGACTTCGCTGGCCACCGCCGACCTGGTGGTGGGACTCTTGGTGGTGCCGCCGGGGGCCACTCTGGCGCTGACTGGCCACTGGCCTCTGGGCGCGACTGGCTGCGAGCTGTGGACGTCCGTGGATGTGCTCTGTGTGACGGCCAGCATCGAAACCCTATGCGCCCTGGCCGTGGACCGCTACCTGGCGGTGACCAACCCGCTGCGTTACCGCGCCCTGGTCACCAAGCGCCGCGCGCGGGCGGCTGTGATCCTGGTGTGGTCGGTGTCGGCCGCGGTGTCCTTCGCACCCATCATGAGCCAGTGGTGGCGCGTGGGGGCAGACGCCGAGGCGCAGCTTTGTCACTCCAACCCGCGCTGCTGCTCCTTCGCCTCCAACGTGCCCTACGCGCTGCTGTCCTCTTCCGTCTCCTTCTACCTGCCGCTCTTGGTGATGCTCTTCGTCTACGCGCGAGTTTTCGTCGCGGCCAGGCGCCAACTTCGCTTGCTGCGCCGGGAGGTGGGCCGCTTCCCGCCCCGGGAGTCTCCGCCGGCCCCGTCGCGCTCTCTGTTCCCCGCCCGCGCGGCTGGGACGCGTGCTGCGCCCGAAGGAGGTCCGCCCTGCGGTCCGCGGCCCGAGCGCCTCCTGCCTCTCCGAGAGCACCGGGCGCTGCGCACCCTGGGGGTCATTATGGGCACCTTCACTCTCTGCTGGTTGCCCTTCTTTTTGGCCAACGTGCTGCGCGCTCTAGGGGGTCCCTCGCTAGTTCCAGATTCGGTCCTCCTCCCCCTTAACTGGCTGGGCTATGCCAACTCCGCCTTCAACCCGCTCATCTACTGCCGCAGCCCGGACTTTCGGAGCGCCTTCCGCCGACTTCTGTGCCGCTGCGCCGGCTGCCGACTCCAGGAGCCCGGAGCTGCCGCCTTCCCGGCCTGCGACCCCTTGGATGCCCCTGAGGCCGGGGTCAGCCCCGCGGGGTCCACGGGTAGGTAACCGGAGGCTTGGCGGCTCGGCGTAGGACCAGGCGGGAGCTGGAGAGGGTCGGCGCCTGGAAGGAGGGAGCACGCAGGAGGGAGCCGAAACGTGGCCCAGGGCCCTTTCCTTCTCCATCCAATCACCAGGGTTGAAGCATAGGAGGACGGGGGTGGGGGTGGGGGTGGGGTGTCCTTCATTCAGGCTTCTGAACCCCCTCCCCGAGTTTTCCAGCTCAGTGATTCAGCTGCCCAGGTCTCTGGTCATCGCTACTCCGGTCTCCGAATTGCACAGAAGGGTGTGGCCCTCCCAACCCGCGGAATCGGTTCTGATTTCTCCCAAAGGTCCTATGGCTATGAAAGTGAAGATCCACTCCAGATATGAAGGACAGCGGTGAGCGAGGAACTGTGAGTGGAGATCGTGCTCCTCCTTCAGAGGCAGAGTGGGTGTGTGTGTGGGGAGTTTGCAGCTGGGTGGTCCCCCATGATTTTATGTAATTATGCTTCCCAGGGTCCCCCGAGGGCCACCCCTGCTCTCCAGTGCCCCTGTTCCCACCCTAAGATATGTTGTCTTCACCTTTCAGGGCTTCCAGGGAGCTCTTTAGGCCTGAAGGACAATAAACTGCTCCTTGGACGTTTCCTTTGGAAGCCTCTGGCCTCTGTTCCCAGTGAGGCCCAGCGAGCTCCCCAGCTGTGGAACTCTGTTTTCCAGAACCTGCTGACTGGGCTGTGGGGTGGGGAGGGGACCCTAAAGCAAGAGGGTAGTCACTGTCCTGAGAAGTTCTAAGCCTTACCCCTGAATGCACTCCTACCTCAGCAGTTCGGGCACAGGGGTGCCTGTGCCCAGCTGCCCTGGGAGCAGCCCCATGGCCTTGCTCACACGTGTGCTGGGAGTATGGGGCGAAGAGGGCCCCCCAAGCTCCACGCCTACCCTGATGAACGCCTAAGTGTCTGCAGGCCCGGTGGCCCAGGCTGAGGGCAGGAGGCTAGAAAAGGCCGAGGTTCAGGTGTCTGCCCCTGGCTTCCTCACTGTAGCTCTGTGCACCAGGGCCTGTCACATGAGGCACCAAACAGCTCTGATCTACCTCACAGCAGGGTCAGAAGGACCTCAGAGTTTGGGGGGACTCCAGGCTTCACAGGAAGGTGAACTGCTGGAATGGATCCCTTTTTTCCATTAAAAGCGAATTAATAAACATTACCGAATGCAGTTTATCCTTTACCCTTTTTCTTCTCCATTTGTTTTTCGTTCATAATCCGCTCACTCTCTTCCCTTTGACTCAGAGCTGGCTTTAGACAGAGGCAGTAAATTAGGACTCATCCGGCCCCTTTCTTCCTAATCTTCATCAAACAAAAAATGAGAAGTCATTTGTGTGAAGGGAGTGAGCTGGAGCTTTGATTCTCTTGCCCCCACCTGCCCTTCCTGAAATCCCTGAATCCAGTTGCAAGCGAGGAGCAAAGTTGAGCTCCCTGTAGGTCGTCCACAACCACTGGCCATGTCCAGAGCCAGGGCGTGGAACAATTGTTGTCAGCCACATGGAAGAGCCATGGTCGGTTTAGTACTAGCAGGGACCAAGCGGTTCTGTACTTTCTATGTGCTTGTATCTGGGCACACAGAGCATTGTTCAAGCTTGGGAAATGTCTTGGATAGATCTCTATATCTCTCTCTCTCCTTCACCTTCCCACTCTCTCCCTGGGCTGCAGAAATCTGTGTTTTCCTCTTGAAGCAGAGTTATAATTGAGCTTGTTGAAACTTTTTTGTTCTTCCTTTCAATTTTTACAACCATATGGGGCAGGTTTCCTATGGGAAGAAGAGTTCTATGGAAATCACTGAATCATTAATGGGTTCTCATTTGAATTCTGAGAACAAGACAATGGTCTCGCCTGATCCACAGCATACCCAGTAAATCACCCAATGTTTATTTAGTGTGCTTGTAACAAATGCACTGGCTGGGTTCAGGGGCCCTAGAGTAATAAAACCTTGGTTGGATCTCAGAAGCTTAGCGCATTTCCACATATGGCTGTTCCCTGTGCATTGGACCGGGTCTGGGCTGCTCTCTTTTCTCCTTGAGCCCAGGTTTTATTTCTCAGGATGTTTGCATACCGAAAATGACTTTCTCCTTTGCAGTCCAGAGCAGTGTGAGATCTTTGAGATGTGGAAGGTTTCTTGGCAGCTTTTGAACTATGGCTCTTAGGGAAGAAGGAAGTCTTGCTTGAGTCCAGGAATAAATAAGAGGGCCTCTTCTCCCTGTCTCTGGATATTTTCCCAGCATCACCAAGGAAAGTTATCCAGTCCTGTCCTGGGCAAGGGAGAAGGATGATTTTGGAGGAGGGGCCTCTGCTTTACAGAACTCTCCTTGAATAGCATCCAGGAACTCATACAGCTTGAGTCTTGCTCGACATGGACCCCTGTGCCAACTGTAGGTTCCTCTGCAGTGTTTAGACTTCTATGAGGCTGTGCATTCCATCTGCAGAGCGTCACCAGTGCATCTGACAGCTAGAAAAGCAGCCTCTCTGATCATTTCTTCAGCAACTTGTGGCCAGGTGTCAAACTGAGGGAGATTTACATCCTTGGATGGGAAGCAGGCTGCCTGCGCAAGCACAAGGCCAAGCATTGAACCATGGAAGACAAACAGTGTTACTCTGAATTCAGAGCTTCGAAGACTCATTGCCCAAGGGCAACTGAAGATAACTGGTCTCCCCAGAGACTGCTGGCAGGAGCTGGGCCTGGGACACAGATGACAGGAAAGGGTGGAGAAAGAATGAGGAATGAGTGGGTCTTCCAAAGGTCACAGACTGGGCAAACTGCAAAGGAGCAGGCAGAACCAGGGACAGAAGGAGGCTGGCAGACACTCTGGGCAGGTTCTTCTAGGTAGTGGTGCTAAGTGCAAGCTGCAACCCTCATGGACAATCTCTGGACTGTAATTCCATATCACCTTTGTTCCTCAGCTGTTATGGTGTAGAAACAGCTTCTCTCCATAGAGTCTAGAGCTTTCTCTCCTCTCCTGCCCTCAAGAGGGTGCCTGGGAGACCCTTCTAAGGTTGGATGAAATCCTGGGCTGAGAGAGCCTCAGCTACCCAACAAAAAAGTGGTGTTGCACGCCCCTGGATGGCAACGTGAAGCATAATGGGCTTTGGTTTGTAAGGCTGCTCTCTCAGATTGCAAAGGGCAGTTTTCCCAAACCCCTCAACTATCAGAGCTGCAAGAGACCATAGAAATACAAGATGTGATATAAAAAATATGGTGTGTGTTTGAAGAAGTTATTAGAGTAAAAGGCACACTGCCATTAATCTCCCCCTAGCTTTGAAAGCACTTATCCCATTGTGCTTGCCACTTTCGGAAGCAGTTCTGGACATCCTCTTTTGTGAGTGTCTTTAGGTGTGCTCTCATGGCTGCCTGCATGTCATGAATCAGTTCAAAACATTTACCTTTCATGGTGATTTTTACTTTGAAGAAGAGCCAGAAGTCACACGATGCCAGATCCTGTGAACAAGGTGGATGAGGACACACTAATGTTTTACAAGCCTGGCCTTCCAGCTGCTGGCGCTCAGCAGTAGCATTCATAGTATTTCTGATCACACTTCATAAAGAAACTCAGGAGCCTGGCACAGTGGCTCATGCCTGTAATTCCAGCCTTTGAGAGAATGAGGCAGGTGAATCCCTTTAGGTTCAAGGGCAGCCTGTACCATGGGTTCAAGGGCCTCCTGAACTATATCCTAAGACCCTGTCTCAAAAAGCCAAAATAAGTAATTAAGTAAAGACACTCAGGAAAGAGGACTTTCAGAACTGCTTCAGAAAGTGGCAAGAATGATGGGATGAGTGTGTTCCATGAGAGGGAATTAATGGCAATGTGTCTTTTACTGTAATAATGTTTAAAATTTAACCATTCACAGTACTTTCTGATCTCCTCTTATAATTTAGTCTATCAGTTGATTAAAATGGATGACAAATCTGAGTTCTGGAGGGGTGAGTTGAGTAGCCAGGACTCCTTTTGTCAGTGAAAGGCAGCACTATGGAGCGTAAAGAGCAGAGACTTCAGAGCCTCACACAAGAAAGACAGGGAGGAAGGAAGGAAGTGGGCACTCGCTGAGCACCTGCTCTGTGCCGTGCCTGGGGAGGGCTCTTTGAAGTCTGTGTGTTTAATAAAGACCACCACCGAGGTGGGGCCTCACAGAAATCAAACATCTGGCTCCAGCTGACTCCAACCAGTTTTTTCACTTTTCTTTCCTCATATTGCTAATAATCAGTTATGTGACACCAAGCAAGTTACTTAACCTGTCTTATTTTACTTGCCTCTGAATCAAATGGTGATATTATTGCCCTACTGGGCTCTTGCAGACTAGTTTTGAAAACCACAAAAGAATCTGTACAGGCAGAAGTTTGGCAGCTGACCAGTCTCCTCTGCTGTAAACTGGTGGGATTGGGGTCTGAATTGGGATCAGGATGAATCTAGGTCTCCTAGTTTGACTCCTTGGCAGGGGCTGATCAGACCCTCAGATACCTGTAGGAGGGACAATGGGGAATAAAGAGAAATAGAGACAGTGTTCAAGGTTCAAGGGGATCAGGAGGAGCTTGCCTCTAGTGGACAGATTTGATGATCTCTACAGTTGACCCACTTTTATTGACCAGCAAGAAGTACAGGCGGAGGGTAGTGTACTTTTCTCAGAACAGCAACTGCAATAAGAATGGGGCAACAAAGAATGAGGAACATGTTAATCCTCACAAAGGGAACAAGTTAATGGGGATTATTAAATCCTTCCCCATACCTGGATTCCTGCATTTTTTGCATTGTCCTTAGCAGATGTTATCTTGCCTTAGGAGTGCTGTGATTATGAACTTTCCCCACATAGCCAGGAAATATGCAGCCTTCCCTGTATTTCCCTATTCCTAAAGCTAGTCACACTGGCCTAGGGACTGCAGGGCTTGTAGCCTGGCCCCCACCAATCTGTACATATCATAGCTGGTCCTCAACACCTGCTTATGGGGCCCCCTTGTCTTGGGTCACGGCACCCATGCCCTGCCTGGTCTTTCATCCGAGACTTCCCACCTCAGATAGATTCTCCTGGCTTTATAGTGCTGTTCCATGCCAGACTCCTGTTTGCTGGTGCCCCGTGCTTTGGTCTGTGTTTGGCCCGATCATGGCTGATGTAGGATTTATATGGAGATGGGCCGGGGATTTAGCTCAGTGGTTCTGCTGCCTGCCTTGCAAGTGCAAGGTCCCAAGTTCGATCCCTGGTACCAAAAAACAAAACAAAACAAAACACCAGGATTTATACAGAGAGGTCAGGGGTGGGTAGGTGGTTTACAGCAGATGTTGGGACCTTAAGTCTATCAGAGTAGGGGTTTGTGAGCCTGGGTGCTATGGGACAAGGAGGGAGAGAGGTGGTATATACCTGTGCTGGGGATGTTGCTGCAGGTTACGGAAACTAGGCAGCTTAAAACAATCGGTATTCAGGCTGGGGATTTAACTCAGTGGTTCCGCTGCCTGCCTCGCAAATGTAAGGTCTGGAGTTCGATCTCCAGTACCAAAAAACAAAACAAAAAAATCGATATTCATTCTCTCCAGCTCTAGAGACAACAAGTCCAAAACCAGAGTGCTGGCAGGGCCACGCTGCCCCTGAGGGCTGCAGGAGGGCTCCTTCTATGCCCTTCATCTTTGGGTGCTCTCAAAATGTCCTTGACTCTGTCTGCTTGTAGATGCATTACTCCAGCTTCCACCTCTGTATCACATGGTCATCTATCCCTGTCAGTTGATGTCTGGATTTCTCTTTTTTTCGAAGGACCTCAGTTGTTGGGTTAGGGCCCAGCCAGATTCAGTATGACCTCATTTTAACTTGAGAGCATCTGCAAAGGCCATGTTTCCAAATAAGGGCACATTGACAAGTTTCAGAATTCACTTCAGTGCATCTTTCAGGGGACACAGCTCAAGTGTTGGCAGAGGGTGTGGTGAGAGAGGGTACAGTTCCCGTGTCCTCTCCACCCTCCTCTTCTCTCTGCTGCCCCAAACACACATTTTGAGACTCTGAGTTCTCCTGTCACCAGCCGGAAGGGTGGTGGGGGTGCCGTCCATCCCTGGATTTCCACTTCTGGACCTTTTCCCCACCTTGGAGGCCCAAATCTGAGAGGCCACTGATAAATTCAGACCTTGTGTTTGTTGTCCTGTGTGGGCAGAAGTTGTTATCTGTTCTCATTCTTCCCTTCTTCCTTTTGAAACGGAAATCCTAAGATTCAGCTGGAAGTGGGGCCTGTGAGCTGGAAACATCTCATGCAGTGTCACTTGCAGATAGATGTGGCCAGGTGACCAAGGTGAGCCAGAAGTGTGCCACTTGCAGATCTGCCATGAAGGTGTATATATCCTCTGTGTCCCTTTCTTGCTTTCCCACTGGCTGGAATGCAGATGTGATGGTGACAGTGGAGGCAGCCACCTTGGGTCAGATGACAGAAGAACCAAATGGAAGGAGCCTGGGCTTCTATTAGTGTGGAGCCACCACTCCAGTCCTAGTCCCTTAAATGAAAGACAAACTTCCATCTTGTGTAAGCCAAGATCACACAATTTATTGTAGTTATTTTAAACTTATTTATTTACAGTAGCTGAGGCCAACAAATCCATTAGTGAAGGGGAGGTAAAGGAAGCTACACCTGCAGAGCTTCGCTGAGCTGCATGGGTGTCCCCCGGGTTGTGTGATCAATGCAGTTTGTGTTAACCTGGCCGTAAGATTGCCCTGCTCCAGGGCCTCTTAGGGCCTTGTGACCATGGGAACTGATGGATCTGCAAAGTCTGAGAACTGTCGAATCTGAGGCCCCAAGTCCATCTCCTGGACACTGATCCCAGGGAGTGAGTTCATTCCTCAAGGCTGCCAACACAAATGACCATGACTTGATGGCTTCAAACAGAGGTGACTTCTCTCATAGGTCTGGGACCGGAAGCCTGGAATTAAGGTGCTGACCAGGCTGCTTCCTTCTGGAGATGCTGAGGGAAGACCCCTGTGTCTCCTCCCTCCTGGGAACTCCAGCAATCCTCAGTGTTCTTGGCTTACAGACACTGCTCCAGGCTCTGCGTGTCTTCTCCTGTCTCTTACAAAGGTACTTGGTGGATTTGAGGACCATGCTAACCAAAGCCTTGCTTCAATACAGGGCCATGTTCTGAGGCTCCTGGTGAAACATATCTGGGGAGCACCACCCAGTTCACTACAGAGAGAAACACATGTGAAACTTTGTTTGTTTGTCTATTTGGGGACAGGGTCTCGCTATGTAGTTCAGGCTGGCCTTGAACTCGATGCGTAGCCCAGGCTAGCCTGGAACTCACAGCAATCCTCCTGCCTCAGCCTCTTAAGCACTGGGATTACAGGCAGGCACCATCATGCCCAGCGAGAAACGTTTTGAGAGTTTGGTCTCTGAAAGTTATCACCCACTCCAGGGAGGTGAGGGGAAGCAGAAGAAAAAGAATTGACATATATTACATGCAAGTATGAATTCCCCACAATGAATGTAATCATTATGTGAAAATATACCAATAAAAAATTAAAAAGTTAAAACAAATTTATCACCCACTCCAGCCTCCACAGAGGGAAGGGTTGCTCTCCCCAGAAGTCCTTGGCTGCTGTGGCAGGTACCGTTCTGAGATGAACCCAGTGACCCATGTCCTTATGTAACCCTTTCCATGAATGTGAGTGGGACTTTAATTTGCTTCTAAACAGTAGAAGGCATATACATAGTAAAGGTGGTGGGATGCACTCACTACAGGGATGAAGGGATTTTTTTTTTTTTTTGGCAGTACTGGGGATTGAACACAGGCCCTTTGCACTGAACTACATCCCTAGCTCTTTAAAAAAAATTCTTTTAGGGCCGGGGATTTAGCTCAGTGGTTCCAGTGTCTGCCTTGCAAGCCCAAGGTTCTGAGTTCGAGCCCTGGTACCAAAAAAAAATTATTTTAGAGACAAGGTCTCACTAAGTTGTTAGGTTGCCCAAGCTGGGCTTGAATTTGCAATCCTCCTGCCTCAGCCTCCCACAGTGCTGCATACCACGCCTGGCTGAGGCAAAGGGATTTTAAAGTGTAATTACTGTCCCTAATCAATTGGCTGAAGCTAATAAAGAGGACACTTGTCCTGGGTGGGCTGTTCTACTTAGGGAAGTCATTTGAAAGCAGATCCTGAGGTCCTAGATGGAGGAGGCAGACACACTCTCTTTGGCCTTGAGGACACAAGGCCAGCCGTTCTACAGCACCAAGGACACAGGTTCTGCCAACAACTTCAGGAGCTTGGAGAGGACCTGGGCCTCAGGTAAGAGGCCCCTGGGCTGCAGCTGTTCAGAGCCCAGCCTAGCCCCGGAGGCAGCACTGCACCGGTAGTGTAGGGGGTCATCTGTCCACACCCGAGAGAGCATACAGACCTAGTGCCGGGCTCCCAGTGCCCAGCGCCAGGATGGTTTTAAAGCTGTCCCTGTGAAGCTCAAAATCCAGGAGGGACAATGAGCTCAGTGTCCCTTGCTCCGCTCTCCGGTCTCTCCCAAAGGCATTTCGGGTCTTCGGCTCTCAGTCTCCCTCCTGACTCCCAAGGGGTGACCTCTTGATACCTCCACAAGCTCCTGGAAGGACTTTTCCAGGTTAGAATCACATAACTGTGTTATTCCCGTTCTTATAATAACTCACTGGCATCCTAAAGCTTTTGGGGTGAGATTCGGACCCCATAATAGAGAGGGCCCATGGGCCTAGGCTTTCATTTCAGTCACACTTACCGTCACTAAGAAAGCACGCTCATTTTTCCAGGCACTGTGCCCCTTTTGCCCTCCACACCCACTGTCAGCATCTCCACACAGTGTCCCCGAGCTCCCCATCCACTCCGGCAATGTCATCACTGAGTGACAGACGCCTAACTACACTCCCCTCCAGAGGGAAGCGACAGAGCTGCTTAAGGCTCAGTTGCAGGGTTTGATGTTGGACACAGTTTGAGTGTGTTCCTCAAGGGCCCATGTGTTGCACGCTTGTTCCATAGCTTGGCAATGTGAAAAGTTGTACGAGCTTTAAGGGATGGAGCTTAAACTGGGCACAGTAGTGCCTGCCTGTAATCCAGGCACTTTGGGAGGCTGAGGTAGGAGAATCCCAATTCAAGCTCAGCCTGGGAATTTAGGGACTTAGGGAGACCCTGTTACAAAAATTAAAAAAGGGGCTGGGAATGTAGCTCAATGCAACAGCCCTGGGTTCAATCTCTAGTACCACAATAGGGAAAAAAAGAAAGCAAGCATGGAGCATAGAGGGAGGTGTTTAGGCGATTGGACACCCTGAGTTAGTTCTCAGAGAGCCAGTTTTATGAGCCTCTTCTGGTTTCCTGTCTTGTGCTGTGATTCTTATCCATACCCCTGCCACTGTGATGCCACCCATTGTGGGGTCCTCCCCAGAGGCAAGCTGATGTTGGTGTCATGCCCTTGAACCTCCAGAACTATGAGCTAAATAAACCTTTTTCCCTTTAAAGTCATTAGCCTTGGATATTTCATAACAGTAATGTGAAACTGGCTAATATATAGGGTATGAAAGAAAAAGACAATCTAAGCATGAGCCAGGTGCCTGGAAGAATAGACTTGCCATTTACAAAATGTAGTGGGTGTGGTGGTGCATGACTGTAACCCAGCCCTTTGGGGAGGTAGAAGCAGGAGGACTGCAAGTTCAAAGCCAGCCTGGACTCTATAGTGAGACCCTATTTCAAAAACCAAACAAAATTGCAGAAAATGTGATGAGAGCAGGCTTGGTGGCAGTTATGAAACAATGTGCTAATTTTTGGACACAGTAAATTTGGAAAGGTCTATGAATTCTTAATTATTATTTTTATTTTATTTATTTATTTTGGTACCAGGGATCGAACTTGGGACCTTGAGCTTGCAAGGCAGGCAGCAGAACCACTGAGCTAAATCCCCGGCCCTGAATTAATTATTTATTGGAATATCAAATAAGCATTGGATTTTCATGTCTGTAAAGAGTACAGCTGAATATATGGACTTGGGAGATGGGTATTTAAGCTCATGGAAGTGACCACTTGCTTGGTCACCGTAGAGAATTCAGAGGACTAGGCCCTGAAGCATTCTAACATTTAAAGGTCAAAAATAGAAGGAACTATCCACGTGCAGTGGTGTACACAGGTAATACTAACTATTCTGGAGGCTGAGGCAGGAAGGTCACTTGAGCTCAGGAGTCCAAGGCCAGGCTGGCCAACAGACTGAAATTCTTTCTTTCTTTCTTTCTTTCTTTCTTTCTCTCTGTGTGTGCACACGTGTGTGTGTTTTGACTTTTTTTTTTTTTTTGGTACTGGAGATCGAACTCGGGACCTTGTGCTTGCGAGGCAGGTACCGGAACCACTGAGCTAAATCCCCAGCCCACGTGTGTGTGTTTTGTTTCTGCTTTTTGGAACTGGGTCTCATTATAGAGCTCAGGGTGTCCTCGGACTCACTACGCAGCCCAGGCTTGTCCTGAATTCAGGGTCTCCTCCTGCCTCCCACTCCCAAGTGGCTGTTATACAGGCGTGAGCCACAACACCCAGTTGAGAAAAAAATAAGTAAATAAAAGAAGGAACAAGTAAAGCCAACGTAAAGGCGGTGGCAGCAGCGAGCTGAAAGCGGAAGCCGAAGTGAGCTGTGTCCCTGGCCCCGGGAGCAGGCGTCAGGAGCAGTCAGTGGAAAGCTCGAGCAGGAGGGCGGGAACCCCTGGGGGCTCCTGGCGCAGGGGCAGGAGACCCTCCCGCAGGTGGGGAGGTGGGGAGTGGGGACCTCGAAGCCCGCTGGTCCAGGTGGAGGGCGGAGGAGGGTGGGGAGGTGCCACCAGGGGTCATCACCTCGGGGAGTCCTCACAGGGTCTGCCTTGTGCTGGATAAAGAGGGCGTCCGGCTTTGGGGGCAGAGGCGGAGCGGGGTCTCAGGGCAGACCAGAGGGGGCCAGCTCGGCTTTCCGGCTGTCAGAAGACCTCGCCCCGCCCCACCTCGCCTCCCTTTGCCCCAAGCGCCCCCCCCCCAGGTCGCCCCGAGGAACTGGCGCAGGATGTGAGGGCAGAATGTGGAGGCCAGGCTGCCTGTGTGCTGAGGAACTGTAAGGTTCTGGTGAGCAGGGAAAGGGAACTGAGAATGGGGGCTGAAAGACAACCGCAAGAAGGGTGGAGGGGTGAGCTCCTGGAGCCCGAGCCCGGACGCGGCTGTCACCGCTTGCTCTGAGAGAAAAGATGGAGCAGGGAGCTGCTTACCTTAGCAGGTTGGGGGCTACAATGGTAGCGTACTAAATGTTCCAATTGTCCTTTTGGTTTTTGTTTTGGGATTGTAAGACCGAGGGCCTTACCAAACGCTCCGAGGAGCTGAAGTGGAGCACACCCGGGAAGGAACACACCGGCCATGTTGGGAAACAGACCTTTATTAGTCTGGCCAGACGGCACTCCCGAAGCAAAATAGCTCAGAGAGGCACCTGGCTCAGAGTCCGAGGTTGTTTTATAGGGGGTTAAGGGGGGGGGGGGTTAACATGTGGATTCACAGAAAAAAAAAGAACAAAGGTTAGTGGCTCATTGTCACATGCTGATGTTCAGCAGACATCCTGACTGACAGTTACGACCACCCTGTTTACAGATTGTCCTATAGATACTGGGCCCCGGGACATTTGGATTTAGGGCAAACAGATGGCTGAGTAACCTCGCCCTATTACTGATTGTCCATTGTCCCGAGGCAAACACACTCCAACCATCAAATTTACAACAGAGTCTAGGGGAGTAATTAACTTTTGAATCACACAGTCCCACAGGGATAACTGGGGATTGAACCTAGGGCCTTGACACTAAGCTACAGTTCATTTTGTTTTTTTATTTTGAGAACAGATTTTGCTAAATCACTAAGTTGTCTGGGCTGGGATCAAACTTAGCTCCTCTTGCCTGAGCCTCCCAGGGTGCTGGGATTACAGGGGTGCACCATGACCAATTGCTTTTGGTAAAAGAAAAAATCTGATATGTCTTGAATTTAGTTACAAAGGCGGGAGAAGAAATCAGGGGATTTAATCAGTTAACAGCTCGTGTGTGTGTGTGTGTGTGTGTGTGCGTGTGCGTGTGCGTGTGTGTGTGCGTGTGTGTGCAGTAGCAGAAAGGTCGGGTCTCGGGGACCCGCGAAGTCAGAGTGGAGCCGTCACAGCGCCCTCTGGTGTTCAGGGGTGGAATCCTCGCCAGCTTCCTTTTAAAGTTTGACCTTGAGCTCCCTGTGCTTCAAAATCTCCAGCCAAACTAGGTGCGGTGGTGGTGCACCCCGTAATTCCAGCACCCGAGGAGGCTGAGGCAGAACGATGGAGAGTCCAGCCTGGGCGAGTTAGTGACTTAGCGAGACCCTGTCTCAAGATAAAAAATTTTTAAAGGGCTGGGGATGTATATCTGTTCAAAGTCCCTGGATTCAATCCTCGGTCGCTTCAGTAAACTTTGCTTGTGTTTAAATCATCCTGAGTCACTTTCTGTTGCTTGTAACCAAGAACGCAAACTGACACTGACAAGAACTAGAGGCTTGAGTCAGCTAAGGCTCTGTCCAACTTCCTTCTGTGTAGAGTTGGCCTTCTTTTTTCCTCCTCCGTGTCAGGGGCCAGTAACTTCTGGAGGCTCTAGGATTGCTTTCTTAAAATCCCATGATAGACAGCAAGGAAAGGGCTTCTCTTCCTACAGCTCCACAGCAGATGCTAGGAAAGGTTCCTCGGCAGGCCAGGCAGGGCCCCGTCTTCTCAGGGTGGCCCTCCGTGCCCTGAGTGTTGCCGTCCCCAGAGCTCTCACAGTGAAAGCCCATTGGCCAATGTGTAGCACTGGGAGGTGGGGCTTTGGGGAAGTGACTGAGTCAGGCCGACTGCCTTTGTGAGCAGGGTTAGAGTCCCAAAAGGAGGTTGGAGGCAGCTGCTCTGTCCCTTTGGTCACAGGAGGACACAGCAGAAAGGCAACATCTTTGAGACAGAGAGGAAGGACTTGCCAGACTTGGAATCTGCTGCTGCCTGGCCCTCAGACTTCCTGGCCTCTGGAACTGGGACTATATTTTTCTGTTGTTTACAAATCACTCAGTCCCAGGTATTTTGTTATAATAGCAGGAATGGACCAATACTCACTGTGATGTGTGGAAGGAGGGAGAGTTTGTCACCAGGAATAGGAAAAGTGTTTCTGGTGAACACATTAAGTTTACGACCCTTCAGCTGCTCCCCAGTCTGTGTTCCTTCCCCCGTACACAGACATTCAAGAAGGGCCCAGGGAATAGCAGTTTTCCACGTGTGACTCAAAATTCGCACTCTCACCCCTTGGAAGCAACTCGAAGTCACATCCATTCCACCTCAGCGTTCAGAGTCCTTGGCGGGGGTGGGAGTGGGGGTGGGGGTGGGGGGCACGTGCTTCTCCACATTGAAAGCAGCTGCTCGTGATACTGTGGCTTATGGACTAACAATGAACTTAGCCACTCGTGAGTGTCCTCACATACAAAGCAGAGGGGAAGACTTCTAGAAAATGGGCAAGAAAAGCAACACATAACTGTCACCTCTGCAAAGCCCATCCCCATCTATGTGGCCACGTATGGAAAGCACAATTACTTTTCAGTTTGTACTCTGTGTTGGTTTTCTGATACTAAAACAAATACTTGAGATCACCATCTTATCAAGAGAAAAAAAGGTTTGCTTTGGGTCAGAGTTTTAGAGATTTCGGTGCATGACCGGTTGGTCCTGTTGCTTTGTCCCTGTGGTGGCGCATCCTTGGGAGGGCACTTGGCAGACCAAAGCTGTTGACCTCATGGCCAGAGAGAGAGGAAGAGACCAGGGTCCCACAGCCCCCTGAGAGTGCACTCCAGGGGCCTCAAGACCCCCCATTAAAGGTTCCAGCACCTCCCAATAGTGCCCTGGGCTGGGGACCGAGCCCTTAGCACATGGACTTTTGGGGACACTTATTCAACTGTGGGGTGTCCCAGGCAATGGAATGAGCTCTTTGCTGCTCATAAGCAGCGTGGCACCATTTCTTCCACATGCCCCATTGAATTTTCCTTTCTCCCCAGTCCGAGGGCCTAAGGGAAGAGTGCCTGTGGGGGCTGCTCCACTTCAGCAGTCTCTTGGGTGAGTATGGTCTCCAGAACTCAAGGATTATTTGTGGGCTTGCAATTTCCTGGGGGAAAATAATCTAGCTTGTTCAAACATCAGTTTCATTTCAGGGGACTTCCCAAGTACCCCATACTGTAAACTCCAGAATTCCCCTTGGGTCTCCCTTTTATAGTTCTTGTCTCTTTGTAAATTGGCTCATTTCCATAGGCCTCACTCAATTTCATAACTGTTATCCTGTGTTAAAAATTGTACACTCAGAGGTGGAGAGGTTTTAAACAACTTGCCTATGGCCACAGAGACACAAAGGGATAGGGCTGAGCTGGGAGTCCAGGTTTGCCTGGCCCCAAAGACCCCGCTCTGTCCATACCATCTTGAGCTCTGTCTGTGCAGGTCTTAGGGCCGTGTGCTGCAGAGAAGCAGGGAAGAGCCCAGGGAACAGTTTTGGGGGTCCCTGAGAGCCATGCTCATGTGCTGACTGCTGGTAAGGAGAGGGTTGTTCCTACAGGGGCTTCAGGAGTGTGGACCCCAGGCGTCTAATAGTATCAAAGAATGTCATGGATGAAGCAGTGGCCACCTGCTGCCTGCCTTTCCCAGAATCCTTCTTTCCTCTCCTGTTCTAGGAGCATCTGCCATCTCTGGGGAGTCCTCCTGAGCTGAGTTGGGGAGAATTGGCACCACCCTTGGCTCTATGTGGCTGCTTTAGACTCTCCCATCCACGAGGGATCAAGGGTGGGCCAAAGAGAGGGGCCAAACTTCTGGGAGGGAAACAGCTTCATTCTTCCAGGGAGCCAGGAGAAGAGACACACTGTCTCCCTCTGGGTAGAAAGGATATAACGTCCGGAAGGCTGCAACCTTATAAAAATATAAACATGATTTTTGAATGGGAAATCAATGCACATGGTGTAAGAGTTAAAAGTTATAAAGTGGAGCCAGGTAGGGTGGCACACACCAGTAATCCCAGCAGTCTGCAGGGGGGCTGAAGTGGGAGGATTGCAAGTTCTAGCCCAACACGAACAATGTAGCAATTTAGCAAGATCCTGCCTCAAAATAAAAAATTTGTAAAAGGGCTGGAAATGCAGCTCAGTGCAAAGGCTCTGGGCTCAATCCCCAGTACAACAAAAAAGTTTTTTTGAAGTTACAAAGTGGTACATAGTGAAAAAGAAGTCAGCCTTTCTCCCATCTCTTTCTACCAGATCCCCATTTCTACCTATAGTAACTGGCTTCTTGCATATCCTTCCAGAGAATCTATGCACATCAAGCAGATACACGCAAATATATCTTTTTCCATAATGTTCCTCACTTCGCTCTGTATTCTGTACCTTCCTTGTTGTTACCTAATGTGTCGTCCCACATCTATATGGGTAGGGCTGCCTGTGACAGCTGCACAGAATTCCCTTATGTTGTTATCCATAACTCCCTTACACTTTCCTTCAGGACTTGGCATTAGTTTTGCATTCGCATCATGCACAAAGCTGTGGTGTAGATCCTGAAAATGTGCATCGTTTTTCACGTCCTGCATTTGCTTTTGCTCTTGTGCCATAGTCAGTCAGAGAACCAAAGTAAAGTTCAGAGGGTAGAGCCAAAAGGGCCATAGGGAACATAACTGGACCCCAATAACACCATGATCCTCTGGGCTGAACTGTGACTCAAGTCACGGTGCCTGCTAGTGAGCCACAATTCATACTTATATTCATATTCAAATTCATTCTCATTCTCTTTCTTGCTCTGGCTTTTTGGAGACGGGTTTTTATTATTGTTGTTTTGTTACTTGCAGCACAGAAACTTCTCAATGGCACACCTGTTAAAATTGTCACTGCTGAAACGTTAAGTGATGAAAGTTACTTCAAGGACAAATGGCCTGCTGACTAGTGCAACAAGCTACAGGAAGAGATTTCCAAAATGAGGAGCTCCTGGCTGGAAGCCACAGTGGGACAGGAGACGTTGAGGCAGGCGGCATCCTTGGTCCAGCAGGTAGCCTCCATGCTCTAAGAAAGCACACAGAGCCGGCCTCTGACCTGGAAGGCTCTGGAAGCTCTGGCACCAGGGAACAAAAGGAAGATCAACAGGAGGAGAAATTAATTGTAGCAGTACATTTTGGAGTCAAAAGGACAACGTCCTAGGGAGCTTGGGAGTAGAGGGACTTCCTGAGCAGAAATGGGCAGGCTTTTCACCGTGGTTTTGCAGTATTCTATATAAAATTTACTTCATATGTAAATTTAGTGACTGTTAACTAATGATCATTTAACGGATGATAATTCTAACAGGACAGAGTTCATGGTGTTGTCCCTAACCTGTCATTTTTCAGTTGCATGTGAAAGAGGACTAGGATGATTTATTACTAATCATTATAAAGACCTAGCACTGGTTTGTGCTGAAGGGGCCATAGGTTTAAGGGCTGAATCCATCTCACACTCAATGAGGCCACATAGGAACTCAGATCCTCCCTGTTGGCCCAGAGTACAGTTACAAGGAACGATCTTGTGTGTACATGGGGTCCTTCAGTGGAGGACTGGCAGACAAGCCAGATAGCTGTGCCATGTTCATGGGGCAGAGGAAGATGTGTCTCCAAAAACTAAGCTATTTATGTTAGGTACCGCTTTGTAAACGGGCACCAGGGAAGTCCTTAACGCATACATTCCTAGCCACCTGCTGGCCTGGGTCTGCATCTTGATTCTTTCTGATCCATTCTGGATCTTTTTCTTTTTTTTTAACAAACATGAAAATCACCTTTGTCTCTGTTTGTGTGGGATGAGGACATACAATTTAGATTCAGGACTGTGACATGTCATACTTCCTACATTTCCCAAGGGAACGAGGAAACACAGGATTTTCTAACACTGGCTAAAAATGCAAATTGCAAGGTTTAGAAGGACTGGTATAGTCAGGTGTGGTGGCGCACGCCTATGATCCCAGCACTCGGGAAGCTGAAGCAGGAGGATTGCCTTGAGTTTGAGGCCAGTTTGGGCTACAGAGTGAGTTCAAGGCCAGCCTGAGTTACATAGAGACCCTGTCTCAAAACAAACAAACAAAATAATAGAAGGACTGGTATAAACGTTATCATAGGCGAATCTAATTACAATTGTTTTTAGATTTCTATTTACCACATGAATACCAAGGCTACCATTTGCAGGTTACTGTCAGCTTTACACACACACACGTGTGGCAAGAACTGGTTTATATTAAAGAAAATTATATCTAATAATAAGTCTCAAGGTATGATTTCAGTAACTCAAAAACTAAAAAGAACCTTGGAGTATTGGCTTATCCTAATGTTTAAAAAAAAATTTTTTGGGGGGGGTACTGGAGATCAAACTCAGGACCTTGCAGTTGCAAGGCAGGTTGCGGTGCCACTGAGCTAAATCCTCAGCCTAAAAATTTTTATTAGTACACGTTTGCAATACACAATGATGGCTTTCATCATGGGGAGCTGATGCATGGACATAATACATCTTCATTCTTTTTATGTTCCTTTCCTCTCCCCTCAATTTTCTCAAGTAGTGCTTATCCTGTGAGTCAGAAAATGAATTCATCATTCTTACACCCTGCTAGGTGATCAGGTATTTCCTAAGTCTCCCTGTAGACTTCCCTTCGTGTTTCATAGACACTCAAGAACATGGCCTTAGACTGGCATACACCTTTAATATTTTGTGATGGTATGTAGAAATGAAATTCCTATTTTTCTAAACTTTTTTTTTGGTACCAGGGATCGAACTCGGGACCTTGCGCTTGCGAAGCAGGCAGCGGAACCACTGAGCTAAAACCCTGCCCCAAATAATTCACATGAATTTTTTTTTCTTTTTTCTTTTTGGTACTGGGGATCGAACTTGGGACCTGGCGCTTGCAAGGCAGGCAGCGGAACCACTGAGCTAAATCCCCGGCCCTTGAAATTCCTATTTTTAAGGTCAATATAAGAAATGAGTTTAATGGTCTAGCATGAGGGAAGTGATTCATATATATGGTAATTATATTTCTGGAAAATTCAGTGCTCATTAATACCCATATGAAAGTGTCTTGGGATTTATGTGAAAAAAATAAAATCTAGGCTCACTTTCAGCCACATGAACACTTAAGAAAATTATATGCAAATGTTGATATAAATTATCCTAAGATATAAATGCCTTAGAAAAGAAACTAGAAGAGGTACAACGAAATGCAGACTGTGGTTAAGGATTGAATGAAGTAAATTTGCATTCTTAGTTTTACACATGCGTGCACACACACCCACACACACTTTTTTGGTAATTATGGGGATCAAACCCAGAGCCTTGTGCATGCTAGGCCAGTGCTCTACCATTGAGCTATATCCCCAACCTTTAATTATACTTTTTCTATATTTAAAGTTTTCTATAATCATCTGAACTATTTTCATCATCATTTACCTCAAGGCAGGTTCCCTGGAAGCACAGCCTGCCTGAGACAGGGATTCAGGGGACACATGATATGGGGAGGGAGTATAGGTTATTCAGCTTTCCATTGCTATGACAAAATTCCCAAGGCAAGCAATTTAAAGGAGGAAAGATTTACTGTATTTTGGCTCATGGTTTCAGATCGTTCATTCCATGGTCACTTGGGTCCATTGTTTCTAGGCCTCTGGTGAGGCACAATGTCACGGCAGGAACTAGTGTTGGTAAACCATATCTAGGGTGAATCTAACAGTGTCTACAACACTCATTTAAGGAGTTGTTTAAGGTGGGCATGGTGGCACTTGGCTGTAATCTCAGCACTCTGGAAGGCTGAGGCAGAAGGATTGCAAGTTTAAGCCCTGTTTGGGCAAGTTAGTGACTTAGTAAGATCCTGTCTCAAAATAAAAACTAAGCACGTGCATCCAGGAGACCGTGAGGACACCCCCAGGCAGGCACACCGGCTGCCAGTTTGGCTTTGGGGTTAGATGCGTGTGGCTGCACTCTGCTCTGTCTGGCTTGCCCCACCCACTTGCATCCAGGAGACCATGAGGACACCCCTGCCCCCCGCCCCCGCAGGCCCACCAGCTGTGGCTTGGCCGCACCGACGCCTGTAACAACAGACACCCCACCCCCCCCCCCCCGCCTCTGGCCTCTTGTCTGTGCAGCTACCTAGTTCCACATTACAGAGGCACAGGGGGACATAAAGTCCATTGTACTGAGTTGCAGAAGTGAACAACAGAGAGAGGGCCTCTCTCAGGCTCCCTGATGAAAACTGAAGTCCCCTGGGAAAGTGAAGAGAATCTGCAATAAAGGCGCACCAGACCACCGTACTTGGTAAGTTGGAAGGATCATCACCTCCCATTGAACTTGTACTGTTTTCAGGGGAGGGACAGCTGAAAACTGTAGCAGAACCTTGCGGACTTCAGCACTGCAGGAGGACAGGGAGCTCAGTTTGGGACTTGCAGCCAGAGGTCTGTCTGGGTCTCATGGATCTGTAGCTGGCTTACTGAGACTCATTGACTTATAGCTGACAGTACCAAAAACAAAAATGAGAAGACATTTAAGCAAATCACAAACTCAGACTTCCATCACACAAAAGGCAATTTCTGGGGAAAACAAGGTAGAAAAGTCTGATAATCAACCGCCTGGACACCCTGAACTGATAGCACAGGAAGTAACAAAACAGATGAATGAGGCTCTAGAAAAATTCAAAGCAGAAATAA